AAAGTAAAATTGCTAGGTTATAAGATACTATATTTAGGATTGCGATGTTGCCTATGTGACCCCTAAAGACATTAACCAAATAGCACTACCTTTACTATTTTATTTAAGATATTCTTTTTAGAATTTCCTCAATTTTTAAACTTAAATAAGATTCATGAAAGTATGAGTTTATATGATAATACTCATTTTCTTAGTATATGTTAAAATGAACGCAGTAAATACTCTTTAAAAAATTTTTCATGCACAACCAAAAATAATCTTTCACATCAAATATTGGAACACTCCCTTCACTTTAAATATGTGGTAACTGACTAGAAAAGAGTCCTCCCTTCAAGTTTACAGTGATCTGTAGTCAAGACTCTTTGGATTCTTTTATTATTCAACCAACTGATTTTGTTTAAGTCATACTTCTCTAATTCATTCACATGGGTATCATGAAATATTTGGCCAAATGCTAGGTTAAAACCAAAGCACTTCACGTCTTTGATCTTCCCTTCATCTTGATAATTCTTGTAAAATGTGAGAGGTGTCACACAACTGCAGGAATTTCTTCAGTTACTCAGTAAAGGACATTTGCAAATGCCTTTTCTAACTTCATGAGAACAGGCTAAGCACTGGGGAGGGATATTTTCTAAATATCCGGGTGGATGTGTAAAAATAAAAAGCAATGGTTGTAATTTTTTTTTTTTTTTTTGACAGCAAGAATTGAAGGAAATGGATTGAGAACACACAGAGCGACACGGCACACTGATTTTCAACATAACCCCATTCAGCATTTTACTGTTTATCATCTGCTGTACATATGGAGGCATAATTGTCAGCTCTTAGGCACATTCATCCCCACATTATACAAAGGTCATTCATGGGCATCCATTGTTATATGTTGGCATTTTCAACATCATCAGTCATTTTTACAAGGCACAGAGGGGTCAGGTCTGAGATCTAGCCATGCTCAGTGCAGCAGAATAGGAGTCCAGAGGATGACTCAGGTGCAGATGAATGAAGTTCAAATTGGCAGGCAAATGTGGCTTCTGTGATAGGTGCAGCATTAGCAGCTAGTGCCCCTGTTAGGAGTTTGGGTGGAAGGCCACAGCCTAGTGGGAAATCTCAGTGATGTGAAATCTTGTGGGGTAGGGGATGCTGTGGGAGGAGGCTCAGAAGTGAAGGAAGGCAGGCATTCCATATCAAAGAGATCTTAAAAGACAGGAGGCCCTTAGGCTATGGCATATGGGGAGCCTGGCAAGACAGGTTCAGAAGACCCAGGAACTAGAAACCAACTGTGGTCCCAGCAGTTCATAGAACAGGAAGAGAAGACAAAGCAGGGACCAGACCCACTTATAAGAATGAGGGCACAGGGGCTAGGAATGGGGAAACAAGAGCATGGTCATTACAGTCAGAAGATACACGAGGGATAGATAGTCTAACCAGTGGTACAAGTTGTTGCCAAGCATGATCCAGTGTTGGTCTCAGGAGGCCTAATTATCTCCTGATTCAGGTTAATACTAGTCCAAGGAATGGAGGGTGGCATTGAGCATCAAGGGGGACTCAAGTTGCCTCAGTGATGGTACAGAGCAGGAATTGGATATGATCAATCTCTTCACTACATCATAAGCTCCTTGAAAGCAGACACCCTCTCAAGTGCCCAGCAGGGCGTGGCACATGCTCAGTGAATGTTTGTTGAATACATGAAGAAAAGGAGACGTAGTCACTGTTGGGTGGGGTATTCCATCAGGCTGTCCCAGAGTTTCAGTGAAATACCCCAAACATTTCATACTATTTGTTGTTTTTATTCCACCATATCCAAGCCAACTGCTGATTTGAAACAATGACTTTCCTGGTTTCTTCATACTAGAAATGAAGGATAGATGTTACATGAATTTGGCCACTAGTCATTATTTCCCTGTGTTGTGCATAAACATCTGGTTAATACCTCGTGGTAGTTCATGTGGATTACATGAACAGCATCAGTCTCTGTGAGGATGGACATAGGGTCCGAGACCCTCTGTAGCAGAAAAAGAAAACTGATGAATTATAAAAAGTATCTGGCTTGTAGTCCTATTTTATCTTTCATTCTCCTTTTTTAAAAAATATATATTTTATTGCATTTTAGATTTTGGGGTATATGTGAACAACATGTAAGATTGTTGCATAGGTACATACATGGCAATGTGGTTTGCTGCCTTCCTCCCCATCACCTATATCTGACATTTCTCCCTATGTTATCCCTCCCCAACTCCCCACCCCCTGCTGTCCCTCCCCTAGTTGCCCCTGACAGACCCCAGTGTGTGATGCTCCCCTCCCTACGTCCATGTGTTCTCACTGTTCAACACTCACCTATGAGTGAGAACATGCGGTGTTTGATTTTCTGTTCTTGTGTCAGTTTGCTGAGAATGATGGTTTCCAGGTTCATCCATGTCCCTACAAAGGACATGAACTCATCGTTTTTTATGGCTACATAGTATTCCATGGTGTATATGTGCCACATTTTCCCTGTCCAGTCTATCGTCGATGGGCATTTGGGTTGGTTCCAAGTCTTTGCTATTGTTAACAGTGCTGCAATGAACATTCGTGTGCATGTGTCCTTATAACAGAACGATTTATAATCCTTTGGGTATATACCCAGTAATGGGATTGCTGGGTCAAATGGAATTTCTATTTCTAGTCCTTTGAGGAATCACCACACTGTCATCCACAATGGTTGAACTAATTTACACACCCACCAACAGTGTAAAAGTGTTCCTATTTCTCCATATCCTCTCCAGCATCTGTTGTCTCCAGATTTTTTAATGATCGCCATTCTAACTGGTGTGAGATGGTACCTCAGTGTAGTTTTGATTTGCATTTCTCTAATGACCAGCGATGATGAGCATTTTTTCGTATGTTTGTTGGCCTCATATATGTCTTCTTTTGTAAAGTGTCTGTTCACTCTTCTGTTGTTGCATTTTTAAAAAACCGATTCTTGTCCAGAATTTAAAAAACTGGTTCTTATCCATCATATTCTTGAGGTTCATGACACATCCTCACAATTGGCTCATATACTGACTCAAATATTGTTGACTCGAAAATTCAGGTGTTGTCTTCTCCTGAGAAACTGAAAGATCCAGCAACGCTGGGTCTATTTCTCTACAGGGCAACCATTAGCAGCTGCTCAGCGTGCCGTCCCTTTTCATCTCTGTTGTCTCCTGACCAAAAGGCTTCATGTCAGCTGATGTGTATCACTGGGCATGAACTGCTACTTTTCTGGTAAAATGGAGAGAGCTATTTTATTGTATCTACTCCATCCATTTACATTGCCTGCCTGGTGAGTGTCATTTGAGTTTGAGAACTCTGCTCTGCTGGGCAACCCTTTTGACGTCCCTAATAATAGCTACCATTCATTAAGCCCTTATTATCTGCAAGCACAAAACTAACAATTTTTGATCCATTATCTCTTTAATCTCTATAAAGCTCGATGAGGTAAGTCTGAGCTGTCATCTCCATTTTTCAAGTGTGAGAATTGAAGCTCACAGAAGCAAAGTAACTTGTGCAAGATTACAAAACTTCTAAGTGGTGACACTGAGATTCAAACTTTGAATACAAACCTTGGATTTAAAACCTGAATCCAAACCTGGGGTTTTAAAAATGTTTTTAAATTATACTGCTTCCCAACCAATAATCCTTTAATAATAGAATTGCTGCTATCAAATGGGGTTTCTTTCCCATATTCAGTCCATGTGGTACTGAATACCAGGAAGAACTTCTTCCTGGTATTCAATGCCAGCCTGGAGCTATTGCTTTGTTGGAGAGGGAGGACGTGTGGTTCTGGGGTCACTATGACATTCATAAATTATTCATCCTGGTGATTGTGTGTGTGTGTGTGTGTGTGTGTGTGTGTGTGTGTGTAGCTGGGCTGTCCCAGCGCTATCCACAGGGAGGTTCCTATAAAGGGCTCCATCTCTGGCCTCACAGCTGTCAGACCATGGAGATGTGGAGGCTATTGCTGTGGGTTGGTGAGTGTGGCAGGTCCCAGCAGTGTCACTCAGTCTAGGAGGTGCCAGACTTTATGAGTTTGTCATCTCTCTGATGCTGAGAGAGCAGCCTGGGACTCAGGGGGCCTGGATTAGGTAGAGATGGGATGGGCCATAGTGAACGGTCAGAGGGACCCAGGGAGACGTGGTCAGAATAGTGGTTCTCAAACCTGGTGGCACATTAGAAATTTTAAATGCCTGAGTTTCACCTTGGACCAGTTCAATCGGAATCTCTGTGTGACCAGCCAGGATATTAGTCATTCTTAATTTGCAGCCAGGGTTGAGAACCACTGGCCTCAAGCTTTTTCTGGGACTTCTAACACTCACTGTTGTCCCTGTGCAAAGCATGAGCATATACACGTGTTTATTAGAGAGAAAAGGAACTTACATCTAGCCCCACTGGGCCAACTTTAGAGACTAGGAAGCAAGTGAGTGGTGTCTGTCTCCATGTGTGCGTCTGCGTCTGCATAAGGTACTGTGTTGGTGGGTGCCCTTGCTGACCAGAGGGTGTGCCGTGGCATGCCACTCTGGCGAGCGTATGAATCTGTGTGACTCCTCCCTTTGTTTCCTGCAGGGTTGGTTCTTGTGCTGACACACCACGATGGTAAGGAAACTGTTTTCCCTTTCAGAGCCCAGGAGAGTCTCTAGCTGAGAAGTCCTCCGCATTGAGCGCCCCCTGCAGCCCCCTTTGCCCTGGCTCCTCTGTCAGGGATTATTGATCCAACACAGTTCCTCAGAGGATTTTTTGGTCACCTGTTGTTTGTGCCACTGACTGTGTGCCTTGGTCCAGATCTGAGAATCCGTTCTGACCAGGATTTCACAGGGCATTTTTTTCTTCCTGAGACCTCAGCAGTGGGGGAGGAATAAAACCTCAGTGTAGTTTTGAGGTGTATGTTGGGCGGGGGGAGAGAGGGTGTTAAAATGTGGCCTCGCCTCTTGGGCTGTGTTCACATTGTTTTCTGGAAGCTGAGCTCTACCCGTTCCCTTGGTCTCGCCAATTAATGTGTGCTCTTCCTTACCAGGTGCTGCCTACAAACTGGTGTGTTATTTCACCAGCTGGGCACACAGTCGGCCAGGCCCCGCCTCCATCTTGCCCCATGACCTGAACCCCTTTCTCTGCACCCACCTGATATTTGCCTTTGCCTCAATGAACAACAATCAGATTGTTGCTAAGGATCTCCAGGATGAGAACATTCTCTATCCAGAGTTCAACAAACTAAAGGAGAGGTTTGTTCATATTCGATGTGGGAGTTGTATTTTCAGATTTCACAGGTATAAGATAACAGCCTATTTCTCCTGTTACTCTTCAACCTTCCTCTATTCCAGTCCTAGCTTCCTCTCAAATAGGGGTCCAGAGCATCCCGAACTTGAGAACTCCCTGTCACAGACACCTTGAGCTCTTTCCGCCTCCTTGCTTCTGTAGTTGCTGTTGCCTCTGCCTGGAATATGCTTCTCTCTCTTCTCTGCCTGGCAAACTCCAACTCAGCCATTGAACCTAGTTGTGAGGATTTCAGGTGCTGATGCTGTTAAAGTGAACCTACACATCCCAGATGCTCAGCAAATGCTCATGTTTTTATTACCATTTGTCACCTGTGAACTACTCTAGGGAAGAGGCAGTGTCTGCTGTGTCGTCGTATCCCAAGTGCTAGGTCAGTGTCTCATACCGGGTTGCTGCTCAGTGTTTGCTTACATTTTCCTTTCTCTAGAACTCCTGGGATCGTTCCCTGCCCAAGGGAAGGTTTGTTACTCTGTTAATAGTTATAGATAAGCAGGGCAAAAGTTCTATGCCACTAAATTATAAGCTCTCTGAGAGTGGGGAGCTTATCTGTGTTGTCCTCTGTTCTAAAGTGCCTAAAACAGTCAATGGCACATAGACATTGCTCAATAAATATTTGTTGAATAGGAAAGTTAGTAAAGAGAAACATTTTAGATTCTTTTTCAGCAGCATCATGGGGACACGGGCGAGTCTGGCAGACTTTGTGCAGCCTTGGAGTTGATGGGTTGTGACGGCCCTTGGGTTGATTGTTCTCTTCTCTTTCTTCCTCTCTCATAAGCTTGTCTCTCTCCCTCTATCACCTTCTCCCTTTTCCTTCCTTTACCTCCCATCTCTCCTGTGTCCTGTTTTTCTTCCAATGAGCAAAACAAAAGAATGTAGCAGCAGCTGCCACTGGAGTGGAGGACCCAGCTTATCAACCCTCTCTTCCACATCATAGGAACAGAGAGCTGAAAACGCTGCTGTCCATCGGCGGGTGGGATTTTGACACCTTAAGGTGAGACTTTGCTCTTATTGTCTTCTCCCTGGGAGAGTGGAGCAGGCTGGCTAGACGTGAAGACAAAAGGGGAAGCCAGCTTGGCTACGGGGACAGCGAAGCTAGCACAAGCACTTCCCTGTCGTGAATCCTAGACTCCTGCACTCGAGGGACATCCTGGCCTCGTATCCATGGTGGGTCAGGGGAGACAAGGAAGTTCTAGCAGGTGGTAAGAAAGGGGCTGGGGGAAATCAGAGACAAAATGAGGCACTCACAATTGCCTCCTCAATCTTTCATAAGAGGCAAGGGTTTTGTCTCCAAGGGAAGGAAAAATGTACGGGACGAGAATAACTCCCAACCTCACGGGTTTCTTCACTTTGTTAACGGATCCAGGGATGTCAACCTTAAAGGTCTGGATCGGGGGAAAGGAAATAACAAAATGCTAAGCTCAGTGCCCAGCACATAGTACACGTTCAGTATGTAGCAGCTGCTCTTGTTAGCACTTCAGTCTCCATGAGGCAACGTGGAGCTGACAAACTCCCTGTATATTTTCTGAAGAAACGTTTCCCCTACTTCATGGCTGAGGATTGGGGTAGAGGCCATGCTTGCCTTGTTGCCTTAGAGGCATGAGATGCAGGAGAGGGACGCCTGGTGACCTGGGAGCGTGTGAGAATGCACTTTGCAAGATGGAGGAAGGATTTGGGGCAGAAGGGTGAGAAGCAGCTCTGCTCAGTCCCAGGCTTTGCCTCTTCCCTTCTCTGAACACTCCCTGTGTTCTAGATGCTGGGCTAGGGCTGTGCATGCATTACCCAGTGAACACTTGGAGGAAACTTACAAAGTGGTTGTATTCCGAATTGGTACAACAGAAAGCGCAAGTCACAGGTGTTCAGAAACTTGCCAGATTTGTCCCAGGTATTCCTCAGAGGCTGCCCAGCTTGGAGGTGGCAAACTGACCACGGAAACCAGGTCTGTTTGTGAGTCTGGTTAATTTTCTAATCATGGCTCAGGACTACCCTAGAGTTGCTTAAAGTTCAGCTCCAATAAGTTAGAATGTTTCCAAAGTGTTGTCACTACGGAAGAGAAAACAATGTAAAATAGAAAACTGTCAAACAAGCAAGCGAACAAAATAACACAGGATCAGGAGCCCCCTGTCAGAGCGCAGGCCTCTTGTGCCAAGTTATACAGCCCAGGCCCGGATTAACTCATAGGTCTTTCTGGACATGCTGGCCCTTGGATCATGTTCTCTGCCTTAATCCAGTCAGGCAGAAAATGTCAGAACTAGGATAGGTCGTGAAAATTGAGTAGCTACCTATGAAGAGAGCACAGAGTGGCACAGTGCCTTGCCAGTGAGCATACCATGTTTTAGGGCACAGAGCTGGACTAAGCCAGTTCTCCCCACCCCAGGCTACTGCTTGGCTCTGTGCCTGCTGTTCCCTGTGCCACCTGGCCTCGGGCAGCACATGGTTGTCAACTTATTTTAGCTGCCTGAATTCCCCACTCCTGGGTATCAAGCTTCTGGTGCTGGGAGAGGCGTGTCAGAGGTAGGAGAATTTCGGAGAACTGCCTTCCTTTCCTCCAGCCGCATCTGCCATGCCCACCACAGGGTGCCAAGCTTGCGAGGGGCCTTGTAGGAGGCTGTGATTCTGTGGCTAGTGTTCTTTGCCTTATGCCCGGTCTCCCTGCAGGTTCACCACTATGTTGTCCACATTTGCCAACCGTGGAAAGTTTATTGCTTCAGTTATATCCCTTCTGAGGACACATAACTTTGATGGTCTTGACCTTTTCTTCTTGTATCCTGGGCTAAGAGGCAGTCCCAGGCATGACCGGTGGACTTTTCTCTTCCTAATTAAAGTAAGTCCGGTCTGGAAGTGCCAGAATCAAGAAATTATTCTACTTTTAGAGGCAGGAGAGGAACATGGGTCCAGGGGCAGGGGCAGGGGCAGAAGAGGGTGACAGAATGTTCTTTTACTGTGAGACACTGGAGGGCAATACCTGTAACACCTGAGGTTACTCTTTTCTCTGCACCTGTGGCTTGCTCCCGCCCTCCAGCCTAAGGGATGCCTTCTCTGTGCAGCTTCCTGCACTCCCTCAGGCAGTGTCTGTCCGAATTCTGTGCTCCTGTGCCTGCTCCCTACCCCTCAATTAAATCATTCACCGCATCAGCCCTCATCTGCCCTTCTCACGAGCCTGTGGCAGGGCCCATGTCCAACTCACCTTCGTGTCCCCAAGTCTGGCTCAGGGGCTCAGTAAATGCTTCCTGGATGATACTCCCCCACAGCCCCTGTCTCTCTGTTTGTCCACTTCTCTGTCTTTCTGTCTTTCCTCCTAGGAGCTCCTGTTTGCCTTCCAGAAGGAGGCACTGCTCACCATGCGCCCGAGGCTGCTACTGTCTGCTGCTATTTCTGGGGTCCCACACATCGTCCAAACACCCTATGAAGTGCGCTTTCTGGGAAGGTGAGTGGATATTGCCTTGGTGGGGCAGGACATTGGAGGGAAGCAGGTGTCTTGAGCTCAGAACCCCAGAGCTTCCCAAGCACTGTTTTTGAGCTCACCATGTGCCTGCCCCGATGTCAGTGCAAGTTTGGGGCTGGGCTGAGGGGCATGGATGGGGACAAGGGCTAGCTCCTTTATACCCTGGGGTTTCTTTAGACCTGCCCACAACAATGTTAGCATGGGTAGAATCTTCTGCGCAGCCTATTGCTGGGTCTCACGAGGAGAGAATCCCAGGGGCCTGGCCTCTTTCTATTTAGAATACAGCTGTAGACATAAGCTCTGCAGCAGATACTGGCATTGGAGACAGATGATTTAACAACCACTGTCACAGAAACAAAAGTAGGAATGCCCAGCCACACCCAGTATTCAGGGCAGTTCTCCATGCAAAAGTTCAAAAGCTAGACAAAGAACAGGACATAAGTCTTTTTGGACATGTCAGCTCTAGCCATATATATATATATAGTTGTTGTTGTTTGTTTGTTTTGTTTTGTTTTTGAGACAGAGTCTCGCTCTGTCACCAGGCGCCAGGCTGGAGTGCAGTGGTGCGATCTCGGCTCACTGCAACCTCCGCCTCCCGGGTTCAAGCAATTCTCCTGCCTCAGCCTCACGAGTAGCTGGGACTACAGGCGCGCACCACCATGCCCAGCTAATTTTTTTGTATTTTTGGTAGAGACAGGGTTTCATCATGTTGGCCAGGATGGTCTCGACCTCTTGACCTTGTGATCTGCCCACTTCGGCCTCCCAAAGTTTTGGGATTGCAGGTGTGAGCCACTGTGCCCTGCCTCTGGGTATATTTTTTAGAACTTTGAGAATCAAGGATTTACAAAAGAGGAAACTGAGTCAGATGTAGACCAAAAGAGAAATGGGATGTTCCTGTGTGGTTGCACTCGAGAGTGGTTTCAGTGTGGGAGGAAAATGAGAGATGCAGGGGACATGGAGTTTGTTAGTGTTGATCTTTTAGCCAGGCAGGATTGAGAGAGTCCTGCCTTCACCCAACTGGGCAACTTTAGGCAAATTAGTTAATTATTCTGAGTTTCAATTTCTTCAACTTTAAAATGGAGATAGTTATGGTACTTAGGGAATTAGCCAGACTGGAATTAAATTAGATCATCAGTATAAACCCTTATCCTTGTGAGCTGGTAATGATGAAATCTTTCTAGAGGAGGTAGGTTTCAATGATGCTTGGAATGGTAGAAAGACAAGCTATGGGACTGACTGCTTTTACTCATGACTGTTTGTTCAGATGTCTGTTAGCATTTGTATCAGGCCTGAGTGTATTTTCTCTCATCTGACTCCTGCCTACCTCCACAGATATTCTCAGGATGCATAGATCTTCACGGACAGCTATTCCTAACCAGCCGTTTGTTCCAGTGGCAGGTGGACAGAACAGCCTGGGCAGGGCCCACAGGCAGAAGGAGCAGGGAAGCTCTGGTGACCAATGTCTAGCTAGTTAGCTAAACAGCGCTGTGATGATCTGACTTGAAAATCTGGCTGGCCCAGTCTTTATATCTCTTCCTCCTGCCCCTTGCAGATTCCTGGATTTCATCAATGTCTTGTCTTATGACTTACATGGAAGTTGGGAAAGGTTCACAGGACATAATAGCCCCCTGTTCTCTCTGCCTGAAGATCCCAAATCTTCGGTAAGAAAAGGAAAGACCTCAGGTGGCCCAGACATCTGCCCCTGAGCTCAGGCCATTGGCTCTTAGTAACAAGGAGAGGTCTGGATTCTTCCTACCTGCAGGCGTATGCTATGAATTACTGGAGAAAGCTTGGGGCGCCCTCAGAGAAACTCATGATGGGGATCCCCACCTATGGACGTACCTTTCGCCTCCTCAAATCCTCTAACAGTGGGTTGCAGGCCAGAGCGATGGGACCAGCATCTCCAGGGAAGTACACCAAGCAAGCAGGCTTATTGGCTTATTATGAGGTAATGGAAATAGCAGCCTCTGTCTGAGGCTCTCCCAGTTAGGACTCTCCCACCCTCATCTGGAGCAAAGGCCAGGATAAGGGGCAATGGCAAGGGTGAGAGCTGTAGACAGGGCAAAGAGGTAGTCTATGAGGACAAGGGAAATCCACTGTGTGGGATATTTTCTTTTTCTTTGTGGTAAGTTATTTGAGTCCTGTGTAAGGGATGAAGGGCTTGGTGGAATCTGGATGGAAGGTTTTCACTGTACCCCAAAAAAGGATCTTGAATGCTATACAGGTAAACCCTGACTTTCTATATGGCCTAAATAAAAATCATTACTATTTGCAATATATATAATTTCAAACATATATAAAAGTAAAAGAGTAGTACAGCCTCTGTACCTCCCTGACATTCTACTCACTCAGCTTCAATCATTAATCATTCATGGCCAATTTTGTCTCATCTCTGCTCTCCGACTTCCTCCCTCCCTACTACAAGATTATTTTGAAGGAATTCCAAGACATTCTCTACTAGAGGTTCTTTCTTTCTACTCCAGCTCCACCCTCTCCATCCTCATCGCAACTGAGTTTGCTACTGAGTGGCAGAAAGAGACATGCTTCCAAGGGGGTGTAACCACCAGAGGTGACAACACGAGCCACATCAGTGTGTGGTTGTAGTGACCTGGAAAGGTCTTATGGAGCAGGTAGATTTTGAGCAGAGTTTGAAAGCACAGGAAAATCCTGATGGACAGGAATGACTAGACGGGAAGGACTTCCCAAGTAAAGGACAGCAGGTACAGAGGCACAGGGTGGTAGGAAGTGCCTGATGGATAGCTGCAGCCCTACTTTAGGCAATAGTGGAGGTGCTGCACGTCTCTCCAGTCTCTGCTCTGCGCTGGATGGATGAGGGCGTTTTTCTGCTAATCCAATGAAGCATTTTTATGAGTGATGGCATAGTTGAAACAATGTTCTTCAAGGGCATTTGGGGCCAAAGAAGCTTTGATAGACAGACGCTTCAAAGCACCAGAAGAAAAAAGGAATGACTTAGACATTAACTTCTGCAGCACAGCTTGCATACTTCTGTTTTTTTTGCAGCATATAGTTTCTAGCACAATGCCAGGCACCCAGTAGACACTCTAATGCTTAATTGATTATAGCAGCCTACTTCTCCCGGCCTTCAAGAACTTTAAATCTGCTAGAAGTTGAGGTGCCAGTTTGATAACTACCTATATGAGGCAGTTTGTGCTAGGATCTAATGAACAGGAGAGGCTTGTTTATGAAAACACTTTGAATGAGATACAGATTTGGTCAAGGATGAGGTGTGTCACTCTTACTATTTTGGTACTTGCATGTCATCCACTCCTTGGTTCTCTTTTTTCCATCATGGACAGTAGAGGAAGGAATGGGTAACAGTAAAAATTTATTCAAAATAGGAGCTCCTTCATGAATGGCCTCTCCATTCTTCTCTCTTTGGTTTACCTTTTTCTCATTCACTGGTTAGATATTCCTGGGCTCTTTATCCTTGGGCAAGGAACAGCTGTCTCCTGGTGCTTGCCGCTGTGGCACTTCCCAGAACTAACCTGACGGTCCTCTTGGCAGATTTGCTCCTTTGTCTGGGGAGCGAAAAAGCACTGGATTGATTATCAGTATGTCCCATATGCCAACAAAGGGGAGGAGTGGGTTGGCTATGATGATGCCATCAGCTTCAGTTACAAGGTGAGACCCTGGCTCTTTCGTGCTCCAGCACATGGTTTCCTACTGGCTTCCATGGGGCCCTTGTTTGTACAATGCATGCATGTGTATTGGGTGGAGGGTGAAAGGTGAGAATGATTAGACCAGGGGAGTTTCAGGCATGCCTACATTTTGGTTCCAACTGGGGTTTCACAATCCCATCTGTTCCAAGTCTCTATTCTGAAGAGAAGATATCTAGGATCTGAGGGAATAAATAATTCTCTCAGTTCATACAGGTTTTTGATGATCTTTTTGGTTTCTTCTTTTCCATTTGGACCAGATAGTTTCCTAGCAGATAAAAACCAACACAAGGTAGATCATGGTAAGTGCTCCACAAATATTAGTGACATGTAGCAGAAATGAGGAAGTCTGGGAGGGCTTCCTGAGAGAGGTGAGCAGGAGTAGGAGAAGATGATGACATGCGGGAAAGGCTCAGTGGTGTAGAAAGCTTATAGCAGATTCAAAAAAGAATTTGGGTGAACCAGAGGCTTTTTATAAAGGGACTTGAGTGCTGGTAAAGGTGTTTGGTCTTTATCCTGCAGACATTTTAAGGCAAAATCATGTTTCTACAGGTGGATGACCTCTAACTTTCAAACTTTTAGAACCAAACTAAAACCCTTCCTTCATGTAAGTGGTGTTTTATCAAGTTGAATCTGGCAGGTTTTTACAGTGAACTAAAAGAGAACTGACATGCTGCAGCACGTCCTAGACCTGCCTCTGCTTTGGAATCACCTGAAAGACTAGACACATGTAGAAATCTTGGTTTCACTCCTGAATATTCATTAGGTCTTAGAAAAACTTTGGAAACTGTTTTAAAATGCCTCCTTCCAGGTTGGCATTTTGGGAGCCCTGGAGGGACACAGAGGTGTCCAAGCATGAGATAATGAGTGTCTGGACTAGGGTAGTTGGAAGGAGCAGCAATTTACAGGTGAGAAATTGCCAGAATGTTGCTTGGATATTGAGACTTAAACAGAGAGAATTCCCAGTTCTCCTATTACCGGTGATGCAGAAATGGCAGGTGTTGGCTGTTCTTTGGGTGAAGTTTGTGTGGGAAGCACCAGAGAGAGAGGCACTCATGAAGATTCACTGTGTGGCTCTTCTGTGCATTAATACTGAGTGAGGCCTGCCGGGGAGGAGACAGGTAAAAGAGCGTGGCTTCTCCCCTCTGGGATCTTGCTCTGTGGTTTGGGAATGGGAAGACACAAACAGGAAGGATCAATGACTCAGTGGATTTATTCAATTGGATGGAATTAAATCTGTGACCCATAGGACATAGAGAGGGCAAAGGAAGCAGACAAGCTAAACTAAAAATAGAGAGCTGCCTTCCTCTTTCCCCCAGAACCGTTTGCCTACCTTCAATGATTGCGAAAGTCCCCTTCCCAGGGAGGACTTGTTTACATTCCAAGTTCTCTCCTCTCTCTGGAGGGGAGGAGGGCCACATATGTCAACCATCCTATATAAGCTCTGAGTCTCATAATTTCAGGTTGTTCTCTGCAGCACAGACCCCACTGCATATGCAGGTGAATTGAACATCTGACTTTCCTCACATTGTCTTTTGGGTAATTGGGACATGGAAACTGACTCAAGGTGTTATTCTGGCTATTTTTGTTCTGTTTTGTTTTTCTGTGAATAATTAACATTCTGTCCTCTGATACAGAGGTCTAGGGTGGTGTGTGTGTGTGTGCGTGTGTGTGTGTGTGTGTGTGTGTACGTACACAGAACTGGCAGGCTAATTAGTTAGCTTATAAGTAGAATAAACATCTCAGAAACTTCACAGTTTCAGATTTAATGATTGGATTCCTTCTTCTTCTTCTTTTATATTTGGGGAAAATCAACCCCTGAAATTAGCTAATTGACTTGGCTAAGGCACACAGCTATTTGGACCTGATGGAGTCTGTCTTTTCCATCAGACTTGATAGAGAGCACTGGTAAGGTAATAGTAGGACCTGGATTTGAGTCTAAGCTCTGCCATTTAGTTATAGTGGAGGTTTTAAAAAGTGTGGATGAAAGTCTTTATTTTCTTAGCTGTGAGAAGAGTACAATATTTTGTGCTCTACTATATTTTATAGCATCACTGTGAGATAAGGAAATAAATTTTAAATAGTAGAGCAATATCTACAGTTTAATATGATAATAATGGTGATTAGTGAGGTGGGAAACCCAGAGGGATAGTAGCTAACATTTATTGAAGATTCACTGTGTGCCAGGTATTGATCCAAATATGCACAGGAACTCTTTGGGAAAACGTATGTAGCATTCCTATATAACATAGAACATAAGATTTACCATTTTAACCACTTTAAAGTCTGAAATTCAGTGGCTTTAATGCATTCATGTTGTGTAATTATCACCGCCATCCATCACCAGAAGCTTTTCATCTCGAATGAAAACCCTGTGCCCATTAAACAGCAACTTCCCATTCCTCCTTCCCCCATCATTCTACTTTCTGTTTCTGGGAATTTGACTACTCTAGGTACTACATATACGTGGAATCAGACAGTGTTCATTATTTCGTATCTGACTGATTTCACTTAGCATAGTGTCTTCACACTTCATCCATATTGTAGTATGTACATGTAAGAATCTTTTGAGTCTAAAAATGTTGGACATGTTATTATCCTTTTTTTAAAACAAATTAAGACACATAAAGGTTATGTAACTTTTTCAAGATCTCATAGATAATAAGCAGTAAAAGCTAGATTCAAATGAAGACTACACTCTTAACTACCCGGCTACATTGCTTCCTCAGGGGCTATGTTCAGTTGTTGGCCATTGTACCCAGTCTGGAGGGTGACAAGGACAGGGGGTTGACTGACTTTTACTTTTACAGGCATGGTTTATAAAGCGAGAGCATTTTGGGGGGGGCCATGGTGTGGACATTGGACATGGATGACGTCAGGGGCACTTTCTGTGGCACTGGTCCTTTCCCCCTTGTCTACGTATTGAATGATATCCTGGTGAGGGCTGGTAAGTAACTGTGACCTGGAAGCTGGGGTTGGAAGTTGCATAACCAGGCACTGGGTGAGTCTATTCTGCTAGATCTAAATGCCTTGGTGAGTCAACATGATGACATTGAGGGGACAGAAAAAGCTTTGCCAGGCCAATATGTTTTCCAGTCTTTGGATACTTGGCCCTTATTTGGCCTCTTTGAGCTTCCTTTGTTCCATCTAAAATGAGAATAATCTGTACACTCATGACATTATTATAAGAACTAAGTGAGCTATGGAATGAAAAATTGTCTTAGCACTCAATATATGTTAGTCTATTTCTCTCTTTCTTCTGCTCTCATGGTCAAGGGCTAAAGGAATTAGGTTTCCTTTGATATCTCTTCCCTGGCAATTAGGAGATGAAACCTAGTGTGCAAGAGGTGAAGCATGCATATAGATGGTTTATAATCTTCATTCTATGGGTAACGAGACTGGATCTCAGTCAGGTCAAATTTTTAGGTGAGTCCCAATCCCACTGTTGACAGCATGCTGTCTCCAGCCTCCTGGCCCCTGGCTTTGTTCCTGCAATACAGAGACAGAAGAAGCTTCTTGAACATTCATCAAGTAATTCTTTAGAATTAGGCCTTGAGGGCAAGGTTTTGCTGATGGTGCAATCAGAGATGTCAAAGTGAGGACTTAAGCACAGGGAATGGGCTTCTTTCTGGGGTTATTCATGGGAAATGTAGTAAATCTACTGAGTACCTGTGGGTGTTTGGGACCTTGTGAGTATGACGGGGTATGGAGCAGACCTTCTGTGTGGTGGGATTTCCTCTATGTCCTCAAGGAGGTATAGTGTGAAATCTTACACTTCTGAATTTTGGAGCAGGTACTTCAGCACTGGAGTGGTTCTAGTTCTGCCAGTAACTAATAGGATGGGAATGAAGTGGTAGGAATCTCATTATTTTCTGTTGATTTTCTCTAGTGTTCAATTCAACTTCTTTACCACAATTTTGGCTGTCATCCACTGTGAATTCTTCAAGCACTGACCCTTCAAGCACTTCAAGGCTGGCTGTGACCAAGGCATCGACCACTGATATTAAGGTTTTGCCTCCAGGAGGAGAGGCTGAGGTCACTGAGATCCATGGAAAGTATGAAAATATGACTATAACCCCTAGAGGCACAACTGTGACCCTTACAAAGGAAACTGTATCCCTTGGAAAGCACATTGTAGCTCTAGGAGAGCAGACTGAGATCCCCGGGGCAAAGACCATGAGTTCTGTGGGTCATCAGTTCATGACCCCCGGAGAGAAGGCCCTGACCTCTGTGGGTGATCAGTATGAGCCCTCTGGGAAGAAGACCCTGACCCCTGTGGGTTATCAGTCCATGACCCCTGGGGAGAAGACCCTGACCCCCGTGGTTCATCAATCTGTGACCCCGGTGAGTCATCAGTCCATGAACCCTGGAGAAATGACTATGACCCCTGTTCATTTTCAGACTGAGACCCTTAGAGAGAATGCAATGGCCCCTAGAACGAAGGCTGTGGCCCTTGAAAAGGTGACTGTCCTCTCCAGAAAGGTATCAGTCACCCCTGAAGGGCAGACTATGCCTCTAAGAGGGGAGAATTTGACTTCTGAGGTGGGCAATCACCCCAAGATGGGTAACTTGGGTCTTCAGATGGAAGCTGAAAACAGGATGCTGCTGCCCTCCAGCCCTATCATCCAGCTCCCGGAACGCACTCCTCCACCTTTTGACAACCGCTTTGTTCCCATCTATGGAAACCATTCCTCTGTCAACTCAACAACCCCTCAAACAAGTCCTCTCTCTCTAAAAAAAGAAAATCCAGAAAACTCTGCTGTGGATCAAGGAACCTAAGCCCTGGTGGTGTCAGAAACCAGAGAAAACCCTTGTCTTCTCTTCTAAGTAACACGATGGGTGCCGACTCATCCTGGGGCAAGGCAGGCATCAAAACCGCAATTGGCCAATCTCTTTTCTGTTAAATAAACTGGAAACACAAGAACCCACCTGAGTTCCCTGAGATTCTTTTCTTGAATTGAACTCTGCCACTCACTTGTTAGCTTCTCCCTTTCAAGGTTATTTTCCCCACTGCTATTTTTGGAAAGAGGGAGTTTGTGTCTAGTCTACAATGTTGCTATCCTGTGTGGATGATGTGCTTCTTTCTTTGCTATGAGCAACTGCTCACTTCACTGTTGCTTGGAACCAGAATCTCTTAAAACACTTTCCACCATCCTCAAGGGGAGCCGAGGTGGGAGGGGAAAGCTGAGTCTTCCAGTTATATTCTCTCCTTGGTAAAATCCTTGCTGTTCCTGAAAAAACAACCCCATCTAGTCTCTCCTCAAGAAGTGTTTGAGGAGAAGGTATAAAAAAGATACCTTAAAAATTATTTTCTTACAGTATTACCTGCACACTTCTGCTAGGTCTCCTCCAGAAACACCAATTCTCATGCATTAAATGTTTAATGCACCTGTGGAACGTTTTCCTAAGCATCACTGTCCTTCATAAGTTGCTATAGCCACTGGATCAATTTCTAGCCCTCCACTTTTAGGAGCTAGTGCTACATAGACTGGGTGTCATGCCTATCATTAACACTACTTTTTCTTTTGGAAGTGTAGCCTCCAAATCTTTAAGCTGCAGTCTCAAGTTAAAATGTCCATAGGACCAGGCACCCACCGTAAAGATTGAAGCATGTGAAAGCACATGGCCATTTGCTTAACAGAACCTAGGTCCCATATGAAAGAAACCCTTTTGTCTCTACAAAAAAATTAGCTGGGCATGATGGCTCATGCCTTTAGTCTCAGCTACTTGGGAGGCTGAGGTGGGAGGATCATCTGAGCCTTGGAGATTGAGGCTGTATTGAGCCATGATGGTGCCACTGAACTCCAGCCTGGGTGACAAAGCAAGACCCTGTCTCAAAAAGTAAATATTTCTGATGGATCTGAGAGTTTTTCTGTCCCATCTTCTGCATGCACTTTATTCAAGTGTAACTTGCCTTCTAGTTTCTAATTTATTTATGTTTTTATCGAATTTATAAGCTGCATTGAACTTATCTCTTAGCTATACATTGACTGGGTCTTCTATCTCTATCATCTAACCCAAAGCGTAGATCAATCGGTGGTCAAAATTCTTGCTTCTATTATGATAGCTGTTAGTTGCAGACAATGGAATCCACTAAAGCTAATTTAAGAAAAAAGACACTACATGGTATTAGAGCTTCTGGGAGGATCGGGAAACCAGGATGGGATACTATACATCTGGATACAACATGTCCAGGGGATATGGATAACTCACTTTTTAAGACATACTGTTAAAGGTCTCAGATTTTACCCTACTTGCAACCTAACAACCCAACCTTTTTGCAATGTGTGTGTGCCCACTACAAAAACCAAGACCTGTGGGTCAGAGACAAGGGAATATATTAATAATAGCAAAAGCAGAACAATATCTTTTGCCAGTTCCAAAAGCTACAAGGGAGATGCAATGAGGGACAAACTGTGCCTGCACATTCAGTGGGTACATTTCAAGAGAGGAACCCCAAAATTAGGAAACTATGATGTTATATATAAGGCTTCAGATGACCAGCCCATTTCCCCTCTCTTCTTTTTTGCCCAGAGATAGAGATTTATCTCTAGATCTCAAGTCTATTTGCTATTCAAATATCCTTGAAAAGATAGTCCAAGATGTTCAGAAATGCCAGACCCATGGAAAATACCTTGGGCTTATTCTAGCAGTAATCCCACTGCCTGCAACTCAGCATCCATGATGTGGGAGACTAGATACCAGAATCTCTGACTCAGCTTTTCCAGAAGACCCGGTCTTCCCTATACATTCATTACCTTTATTCTATAATTCACCGAAGTTTCCTGTAGCCACGTTTGCTTAGCAGAACATAGGTCACAGATGAAACCCTTACTTCAGGGAATCTGGGAATTCTAATTTTAGCTTCCTAGCCTATATCACAGAAAAGCATACTAGAGGGTGTTAAAATGAGTACTGAGTTAGGCAATGTTAACAGCTTTTAAGGATCACTCTGTGGCTATGTAACATACATACATACGTACATATTAATCCTTTTTCTCATACTTGAGTATCCTAACAACAACAATTGCAAAAAGTCCTCTTACCTAATATAACGCAAAGATTTATCTTCTCAATGAAAATGTGGCAGTGGTGGGGGCAACTAAAAATGGAATGCTGTTACAAAGGAACTCTACTTAACAATAGCAATGTAACTGAAGAGGTTAGGGAGGAAAAATACTAGCCTTGGTAATTTTAGCTTTGGAAAATAGGATTTTGAATTTATATTGAAAGGCCAAAGACAAAAGGAACTAGATATAAGTATTGTACTGTAGTTGGTAAATTTATTTCTTACTGATGTATACATTAGCAATTTTTAAAAAAAACTTTATTTTAGGTTCAGGGGCACATGTGAAAGTTTGTTACACAAGGTAAACTTGTGTCACAGGAGCTTGCTGAATAGATTATTTCATCACCCAGGTATTAAGCCCAGTACCCAATAATTATCTTTTCCCCCTCCTCCTACCCTCCACCCTCAAGAAAACCTCAGTTTCTGTTGTTTCCTTCTTTGTGCTTATGAGTGTGCTACGCATTTAGGTCCCACTTACAAGTGAGAACGTGTGGTATTTGTTTATCTGTTCCTGCTTTAGTTGGCTAAGGATAACATCCTCCAGCTCCATCCAGGCTCCCACAAGATACACAATCTTGTTGTTTTTTTTATGGCTGCATAATATTTCATGATGTATATATACCACATTTTCTTTATCCAATTTGTCATTGATGGGCATTTAGGTTGATTCCATGTCTTTGCTATTGTGAATAGTGCTGCAGTGAACATTCACCTGCACGTGTGCTGTATCCATTTTTTTTTTCTTTTGAGACAGGGTGTCACTCTGTTGCTCAGGCTGGAGTGCAGTGGCGCAATCATGGCTCACTGCAGTGGATCAGGTGATCCTCCCATCTCAGCTTCCCCGGTAGCTAGAACCACAGGCATGCACCACTACACCTGGCTAATTTTTGTGTTTTTGGTAGAGATGGGGTTTGGCCATGTTGCCCAGGCTGGTCTCAAAATGCTAGGATTATAGCTTTGAGCCGCTGCACCTGGCCACATGCGTCTTTATGTAGAATGATTTCTATTCCTCTGGGTATATACCCAGTCATAGGATTGCTGGGTTAAATGGTAGTTCTGCATTTAGCTCTCTGAGGAATAGCCATACCGTTTTCCACATTGGTTGAACTAATTACACTTCATTAATAGTATATAAGTGTTCCCTTTTCTCTGCAATCTCACCAGCATCTGTTATTTTCTGACATTTTAATAATAGCCATTCTGACTGGTATGAGATGGTATCTCATTCTGGTTTTAATTTGCATTTCTCTGACAACCAGTGATATTGAGATTTTTTTTCATATGTTTATTGGCCACATGTATGTGTGCTTTAGAAAAGTGTCTGTTGATGTCCTTTGCCCACTTTTTGATGGGGTTGTTTGCTTTTTCTCTTGTAAATTTGTTTAAGTCCTTATAGATGCTGGATATTAGACCTTTGTCAGATGCCTAGTTTGCAAATATTTTCTCCCATTCTGTGGGTTGTCTATTTACTCTGTCAATAGTTTCCTTTGCTGTGCAGAAGCTCTTAAGTTTAATTAGATCACACTTGTCGACTTTTCCTTTTGTTGTCTTTGTCATGAAATCTTTGCCCATTCCAATGTCCAGGATGGTGTTGCCTAGGTGTCTTTTAGGGTTTTTTTGTTTTTTGTTTTTAAATAATTTTTTGTTTTACATTTACGTCTAATCCATTTTGAGTTAATTTTTGTATATGGTGTAAGGAAGGGGTCCAGTTTCAATCTTCTGCGTATGGCTAGCTAGTTATCCCAGCACCTTTTACTGAATAGGGAGTCTTTTGCCCTTTGTTTTTGTCAGCATTGTTGAAGATCAACTGGTCATAGGCATGCATAATTTCTGGGCGCTCTATTCTGTTCCATTGGTCTATGTGCCTGTTTTTGTACAGTACAATGCTGTTTGGTTACGATAGTCCTATACTACAGTTTAAAGTTGGGTGATGCCTCTATCTTTGTTCTTTTTGTTTAGGATTGCCTTGGCTATTTGGGCTCTGTTTTGGTTCCATATGAATTTTAAAATCGTTTTTTATAGTTCTGTGAAGAATGTCACTGGTAGTTTGACAGGAATAGCATTGAATCTGTAAATTGCCTTGGGCAATATGGCCATTTTAATGATACTGATTCTTTCTATCCACGAGCATGGGACATTATTCCATTTGTTTGTGTAAGACGGTTGCCTCGCCGGGAGCTTGGACACGCCCATCCCTCTCCACTCCTGAAAATTATGTCACCAGAATCTGCACTCAGCATCTAGCCCGCCACACCCACCTCTGCACTCAACACTAAACTCTGCACTCAGCATCTAGCCCGCCGTTGGAAATCCCCTCTGCACTCAGCACCAGGATCTGCATTCGACACTAAACTCTGCACTCGGCATCTAGCCAGCCATTGGAAAACCCTGGCAAAATTTAAAAGAAGCCCAGCCAAAACCTGCCCAATAGCACATTGTCCCGTCCAGCCCACTCACTGGAAATCCCGCCTACCTGCCTATAGCAGCTTGCCACGTCCACGTCCTGTTTCTCCATAGCCAATCAGAGCACCTTCCCTCCCTATATAACCCCACACCTGAGAGGAGTCAAGCATGACTTCTCTGGCCTCCTTTCCCTGGACCATAGAACCTTGCCTGGGAGCCGAATAAACTGGCGTCTAATTGTTCTCATGCAGGTCTCAGTCTCCTCATTTTAAACTCGGCAATAAACCTTACAGAGAATAAACATTACAAGTGGTGCCGAAACCCGGGAGGAGTTGTAAGACCCCTCTTGGTGGAAACTGACTCCTTAATCTGAAGCCAGACCAGGGAACTGCTCCACCACAAGGTAAGACTTCTGTTGCCCACAGCCTCTCTCACCGCCTGCCTCGTGGACTCTCT